AAATGAATAAAATATAATAAATGCGAAAAGAATTTAAAAAAACTACAAGTTTATTTGTTTAATAAATATCGTGCAACATAAATTTCTTCAACCCCCTCAATTATCTATTGGTCTATCCTTAAAGGCTATAAGGTCTTAATGAAGTTACTACCTTCTTCCAGTCGCACTTTATCAGGTGATGTCCAACATTGTACTGGGAAAACCATATGATCACCACGGGACGACGTGACTTCGACTTCTTCAACAAAGAGTCCTTCACTTGGTATTGTCTCATCTTGAGTAACGACGACATCTTTTATCTGATATCATGAGAATAGTATACATAATCCGTGGTCATATCTTAAAGTGCACCTTAACCCCTGATACAATACTTACAGTATTGCTTACTATCAATCACGTGACTTTTTTGGAGTTGACTGGGGGGCAAACGAGCGGTTGACTGAGGGGCAACTGGTGGATGTTAAGTCAAAACATGTCAAAAAAGTCCTAAAAGTATTGTATTTGACTATTTCTACGACATGAAACCAGAAAACAAGAAATCAAAACAACCTCCAAGATTCTACAAGCCATTAAAAACGCAGCTATTACCGGAAGTGACGTCTATTGATAGCAACCTATTGATTGTAAAYGATGTGAATAGTTGAATGGTGAGATGTTTCTTCAATTGAATGTTGCTTGTTTAAATAATGAAGGTTTATACTTCCAATATGTTACTGACTGTGACGTCACCCCAGGCTTYATTAAATAGACCAATTTTAACTGGTTCGTCACACAAACAGTATTTAAAAAGCATTATCATTATACTCAAGGTTTCCACAATGTTTATTGTAAATTTGATGTCTCATAATTGCTAGTGTTAAGTCAAAGCTTGGGGTGACGTCACAGTCAGTACATAATGGAAGTATAAGCTTTCATAACTTAATAACACAAAAATCTTAAAATCTGTTTTAACGTCAACACATCGCGTACAACTGTTGTACATTTCTCGTGTGTACTCTCACCTTTCCGATATCAGCAACACGGGCAATCAACTTGTAAACTTTGCCCTTTTCAAACTTGTCTTCTGGTCTTACTCCTGGTTTGACTTGGATTTGGCCGCTTTCACCATTCTCGCCAAGGAGCTGAATAAGCACTGGAGCATGAGGATCCAAGACATCCCCGAGTCTCAAAAGAACTAGAAACGAAACGAGATCATTAAGGAATATGATGGGGGCACAATTACGTACTACGATAATCTTGAGATTGTATATCAGTACAGAAACAGGTAGATTTGGTCTATTAGTAAAATGAAATTAATAGTGGACCCAATAGTGATCTGTGTGGTAAACCATATGATTTTCAGTAATATCAAAGTGTCAGTTACAGGAGATTTCAGGGAATAGTATTGATAAAACTGCAATTACTAAGTGGACCCAAAGGTGATCTGTGTAGTACACCCTATTATTGTCGAGACAAACTAAAACTTACTTGTGTACAAATCTGATTTTGATTTCTCATCAACTGCAAAAAAAGAAAATTCTTTGGTTAGCGACAATTTGACTTTGTACATCAAACGATCACGGCATTTTATCCCGAATAAAATACCCAAGCCGCAAGTTGTTCAATGATAATGTCCTACTGTTCACGGAAATTTGCTGTGTATGGATTTCCTGACAAAAAATTGTGCGAGTGGGAATGAGCCGAGTTTGCTCGGCTATACACCCCACGTCGTGCTTCTCCTAACGCTTCTCTCGTGTTCTGAGAATCCCCGCGTAATAACAAAACCAATCAACGCCAAATTTCGAAGGATTTACCGCACGAAAAATGAACTTACAAAGTGGGAAACGATATGACAAATTAGCAGTTCTGTAGCCGTACCGCATCTTGCCGTAACTGTCACAACTACGCGTTGTGATTGGATGAATGACATGAAAACAATGGAAAGCCATGATACTGCATACCGCACGGAAAGCATGTTATAAGTCAGAGCCATGCGTTTCCCACTCATACGAAAATCATTTATAGAGTGATAATCTTTATTCACAGATTATGCATGATCACTTACTAGGCTCTAGGTCCACGTCGTCTCCAGCAATCCAGTTGTTATACGGGAAGATATAGCGTTTGTCTTTAGAAGGCACATCTATGGTCAGTTGTTTAAGGAACCACTCAGGGCTTTGACCCTTATTATCGTGGCCAACGCGAACCTTGGTCAGCTGAAAGAATTGATATCATGACTGAGTCAGTTTTTGCAGTTTTCGCATGACTAAGAAAAGGTTAGTGCTCTAAGCGTGCCGCGCCGTGACCGTGATGTTTCTAGAATTTTAATTGGCTGATTTTTTTATCGCGAAATGTGATGGGTCTGGTAGTTCCGTGACCTTAGCGTGACCGTGTCCGCGCCGTGTTTATGCCGTGTATTTGATTGGATGGAGAGTGAATTCTCGAGCAACGTGTATGGTCTGGAGTATCCCTTGCCGTGTCACGACCGTGTTCATACCGTGAGCTTTTCAAAGTCATACGGAAACTGCTCCTAAAGGCAGCACCGTGCCGTGCCTTCCAATGTGATTTGATGAGAAGTGATTTCGCGTGATGAGATTGGTACAATGGATGTCATACTGCGTGAGCGTGATGTGCGCAGCCATTTTTTCAAATTCACAAACAATCCAAAATGGCCCGCTTGTAAAAATTTGAACTAAAGTACAAGCTTTTATCTCAATTCTATACTTCAAATTAAGACCAAAACCACAACTTACATCCCCAATATCAAGCGTCTCGACAGCAAATTTATCAATTCTTCCTTTTTCGAATCGCGTAGACTTGTTGTCTTCCTGAGGGAATTCTATCTTGTCTGTGTTTCCTTTATCACCAAACATCTGTAGGAAGACTGTAGCGTCTGTACCAGCGAAAGGTACGTCGCCTGTCTCAAAGGTCGCGTTGTAGAGGATAGCTAAAGAAAAGTTTAAAAAAATGGTCGTAATCATGGTGATCTTCTTTGGAACCCTTGATTTCCAATTCCTATCCCACACCATTCAGGCATTATTTTTGCTTCTGAGAACCTTTAAAGAACTCACAGTACTTATTGAAACTCGTTACTTCCCATTCCTTAATTTAACGACTATGAATCTTACTGTCTTCCACAGGCGTCACTGTTTCGTTAGGAGAAAGATCCCTTGAAGTCTCGCCGTCGAGCCAACATCGGCATGGAAACAGGACTGGTTTCTTCCCTGGTGCGCTGACTTCGACCTCTTCTACGAACAGAGGCTTATCGGATCCTTCCTGGCCAAGGCGGATCTTCTCGACCTGTCGAGGCAACAGAAAATAAATCTCATTTAAGGTAACTTTTTTGGTTTATACCAAGTTGGGCAAGGCTCAGGCCAAACGTTGAACTTAACATGATCTGAATCAAATAGCAGTTATTATGGATGCATGCAAATGCAAATGAGATGCAAATGAGACAACAAGCATTGTATGGGTCCGATAGCCTCACTTGTATGATTCTTAAAGTGCACATGAACCCTTTGACAATAC